GTTGTTGCCAGTGTGGATTTCGTCCCTGTCCTGTGTTTCCATTTTCCTCTCTTCTCCTGATTAACGCCTCGATTTCTCCGGTCATCCGACACTGCTCTAGCCATCCTTCCTTTTGAATCCACTGTGCAGTTCTAGTCATGTCTTTGACGTTATTTGCCATAGCTTCGAAAGATCAGGTTGTCGATTTTCGCAGCAACTCACCTCTTCACTTTGCCCATCTTGGATAAGATATCACCATGTGCTTTGTATTTTGGGACGGATATCCACATTGGCAGCATGGTTTCCCTACTCCTGGCACGTTCCTTCTGTATAAGTAAGCATTGAGCCCAATGTGCTCGCTTCTTGTGTGGCAATGCTGCCCTGGGCCCTGCTAAGATTTTGGTGGATTTGGATAGGTGACTCTCTATAGTTTATCATAAGTCTACCTGTTGTCTTGTCGTTAAATAAGTTTGCAGCTTTCCACTTATCTGGTTTGGATTGCACTCGCGGACCCAAACGCCGCTCCTTCTTCTGGCCCGTCCAGGATTTTGACCATTACTTGAACGCGGCGTTCTTACCGGCTACTTTCTGTCCTGTTTTACACTCAATGTTGATGCAGATAAAGTTCCATTCCGCTATGTCATCTCTCCTTTTCTGATCGCATTTTTTAACTTTTCTTCATCAAAAAATTCGATTTTCCTGCATGCAGTTGAAGTTGTCTGTTGGACAGGAGAACATAGGTTAAATTGATTATTAAAAAATACTCTAGCGTAGCTAGACTAATTTCATGTAGATCTAGAATACCCCCATAATCATTGGCTCAGATAGGACAGTTGAGTATTTGAATTTGAATTTGAAATATTTAACATGACAGGACGAACCTAGCATCTATTTAGACGTGACACGGGTAGATGGACTCTGAGAGCTCATTGCTACCTACATGACCGGCATTAAGGCCAGAAGCGACAAAGGAAATAAATAGGAACAATAAATGCCTGAGTTACAGCGCCCTGCGCTCATCCCTATCTTCCAAGCACATCCCCTCCCGAGTTGGAATCTGTCTCGGCGTGGTCACCTCCCACCCTGTTCATTATTCGGCAGACTGTAGCATCTGCTTGAAGTTAAAAATTGAAAAGACTTCTGCCATCCCTTCTCCCCTGTCATTTCCCTGGCCCCAGGTGGGTCCATTTTCTCATAGCTTCTCCAACGTTGCATAGCAGGTTGGCACTCTGAAAAATGCCAGGGTCTTTTCTCTCGGCCGCAAAAGCATTTTAGGTCTTCATGTTCGTGGTTAAAACGTCGATGGTAGTAGGCGTAGTCTCCGTGGCCAGTTCTTGCCGCAATTAGACGGTGGTACGCCCATCTTGGTAGAGCCAGTTCCGGTGGTTGTTTGCAGCGCATGAAGAGGTCTAAATCTTTGTATCGTTCCGGCCGGAACTTCGGCCACCACTCTTCCATGATTTCTTGACCCCGTATTTTTACTAGTCTCCTTAGTGCCCCAAAGGTTAGATTTTGAGATTCTCCACTAAGTAAAGCTGTGGTTGGTGACCAGTTGTTGAGAGATCTCAAGGCCGACTTTGCCAGCTCATCAGCCTCTTCATTGCCTTTTATCCCAACATGACCAGGTATCCAGCGTTTTTCTACACGCTTGTTTTGTCTCAGCAGTGAAAACTTGTTCACAACTGCCTGCGAAGAAATATATCTTAATCTTTCGAGCGCCCGAGCGGCTGCTTGATTTTTCAGAAGAATGCGAATCGGTAAGTCTTTTTCCACTGTTAGTGCAGCTTCCAGGGCTTTCGGCTATCGGAACTTGACGCACGCTCATTTGCAGGCGTGTCATATATCGTTCTAGCTGTCTGAATAGGCGATCTCTTTGTCCAGATCGAAGACCTAAGCGTCTGATAGTATCTTTTGGGCCCTCAGCTGCCCGAAGGGCTAGAGAATGCCACACATCTATTCTTCGCATGAAGGCTGCCGATCGCAGCGTCTTTTGCTGGAGGATGATGGATGCCAGGGGTACTTCCGCTTCAAGATGGAGAGCGCTATTGGGAATGCTACTCGAAAAGCTTTCATTATCGTTTTGTCTAGCAGAGATATGTGCCAGCTTACGCCAGTGCCGAATTCTTTATCTCGTAGCGAGGTTATTCGAGTGAGACCGGGCAACCACGCTTCTGCCCCATATAGGGCCGTACTAAGAATGCATGCATGTACCGCACGAATTAGAGGTCCAGGAGCTGCACCGCGTTAAACTCCGTTTATATGTCGTAAGAAATGGACTAGACGATTAGCCTTTCCAGTCCATTCCTGTACTTGCTGCTTGAAGTTCAGCTGAGTATCAAGCCAGATTCCTAGCCACCGGATGTGCGGTGCTGGTTCTATTCGACGATCTCTCACCATCATTGAAAGTCCAACCGTAATGATTTTCTTTATAGGTCCCCCTCCGATCACTAGAACTTCGGACTTTGCTGGGTCAAACTCGATCCTATGCTCTCTGGCGAGAAGGATAAGGCTATCGATGTCGTCTTGTACTGCGGAGATGGCTTCAGCCGCGGTTTTTCCAACTCTAATGATGGCCATATCATCAGCATAACTAATCCTGCTCGTGAGACTATGATCCTGAAAAAGCACTGAGAAATGTAGCATAAAGAGTAATGGCGATAGTGGCTAACCCTGAGGTACTCCACATTGCAGTATCTTTTCATTAGTAGTTCCACCGCGGTATTTTATCTTCACCTTTCGTTGGCAAAGAAAAGTCTGAATAAACCGACACAGGAATAGTGGTCAGCCTTATACTCGAAGGCGTTTGAGCAGTCGGTTGTGAAGGACTGCATCAAATCCACCTTGAATGTCAAATGTGACCATAGCCGCACATTCTCCGCTTTTCATGGCTGCCTCGGTATCGTGGATTACGCAAGATGCAAGGTTGACCGCCGATCGTCCTAGTACAGAGCCGAATAATTGAGGGTGAACCACTTGGTGACTTATCGTCAGCCACGCCATTCTCTTGCCAACCAAACTTTTAAGTCCTTTGCCTAAACTCGAAAGCAGCAAAATCGGTCGCCAACCCTTGGCGGTTGACAGATTTCGTCCCGGTTTAGTAGAAGCACAACCTCTGCTACCCTGAAGGCCGTGGGAAAGTGACCGATATTCAGACAGGCCTGGTAGAGATCCTTAACTAGAGGCCCTAGATAACAGGCTTTAAGTAGACGTACCGTTATCTTGTCAGCACATGGTGCAGTATCATTGACAGAGACGGTAACGCTGGTCACATCGTCAAGTAATATTTCCTTATCCCATGAAATACGCTCCTCTTGTCCATTCTCCCAGGTTGGGATGTCGTTCTCGCCGCTAAACCTTGGCAAAAAATGTCTCGTAGCGCACTAGCTCGCTCTCGCGGGTCAGATTACCACCGGTTTTCGTCAATCTGCAGGGGTACGGAGCAGAATTATCCCGTTTTGTCGTGTTGGCCGGGCCATACAGCTGCCCTCATTTGAGTGATGGAGTCCAGCACAATTTGAGCACTTTGACACCTTGGCCTGGCACTCTGATGTCTCATTGGTTCCCCCACATCTCCCACATCGCTGGCTTCGGGTGCAGGAACGCGTTTTGTGGAATCCCCAGCAGCGTTCGCATTGCTCGATCAGTTTTCGGCGTGAGAAGGGCATTGCCGGCCCGCTCTCTTCAAGTAGAAGTAACTTTGTGTTTGCTGGTTTTTGTTGGAAATGAACAATCCAGCTCGTTGAGTATTGGCCAAGTTTTATTTCTGTGGGCCTTACCTGGATTAGTACAGCACCACATACTGCTTGGCACTCGTTCTTCACCATGTCGTTGGTGATTGGAATGCTACCTTCGAGCATCCTGATGTATAGCGGCACATGAGGTACAATCAATGACGTCCATTTTGACGCTGCCTCAATCACAGTGTTGTCTTACTGTAGGGAAGGTGCAATCCTCATGATTGTATCTCTCAATGCGTCTGATGCGCACTCGAGAGCGATCCCCGACCTGACTGAGTAAATAGACGTGATAGCGGAAGTCGCCATCCCAGCCTTGTCGGTAATTATTTTCTTGATCGTGACCGGTGATAACTTGTTGCAAATAGTGATCTTTCCTCGATCGTAGGAACAAGAGCTTGTCCTCATTTGGGGCTGTCTGGGGTTTCGGGTTGCCTGTTGGTGAAGGCCTTCGCGGAATTGGCACGTTTGGCGGCGTCGGTAGCTTGGCCGCTTTGCGGGCTACTGTCACCCAGGGCGAGCTGGTTTCTTGAGGCTTTGAGGGTAGGGCGTAGCTGTGATCCTCAACAGATGTGTTGTTCCTAGGCGCGACTGGTTTGGAAGTGCTTGCCATGGTTGGGGGGCTTCTTACTTTTCAAGTTTGTTACTTCTACCTGATCTACTGCGAAGGCAGTGATAATAGGCGTGATATTTTCCAGCAGAGTCGCGACGATTGCTGCTGCTTGCTTCCCTCCTTTGCTCTTAGCCCAGGAGTCGATTAGTTCAAGAAGTTCCTGGGCTACACCCAATCTTTCTTTTCTTTATTGTTCTGCTTTTAGCATTGCGTTTACAATGCCGAGCAGGTTTGGATGGAGTTGTCGATGACGATGCAATGGCTGGGGCCATTGCACCGGTTGGAGATTCTTGCAGAATGGATAATGAGTAATGTGATGTGGGATGTGGGATGGGTTAAACATTAATGATGGTCTAGGATAACTGAGCAAATCCCATCTGGTCTAATTTAAGACCGAAAGATGATCGGCCAAGGGCATAGTCTAGATGTGCGTGAGTCACCCCTGTCAAGAACGGCTAGTTAGTCTTCCTACTATGATTGACATAAAAAGCTTACGTTAATTAAACTGGTAATAGACTCCGATAGTGCTAGACGTTACATGGTAAGTATATCTGGGTTACTGCTTCAGGATAAAATAATAATATGTCGCTAGCTGTAAAATTCGAGATGCTAGAGAGTACAAGTATTACCGCCAAATAATCTGCACACCAAAAGTCTTCTGGAAATATATTTCAATGAATGATATAGAATTGGATGAAATGCATGGCTTAAGGGTTGCCGTGCAAGGTTGTGTAAGGCCTACCAAAAGTATCAATTATTGATTAAGAAATCTTACGGGCTATCAGTGTCATGGAACACTCCACGCAATATACGACTCAGCAACGAAAGCATGTAATGTCAGAGGCTGGAAAACCTTAGATCTTCTCATTATCGGTGGCGACTTCCAGGCAAGTTGGTACAACCTACACAGGATTTTCTAATAATTATAGGCAGTTCGTAATGCTAATGACTTAACTGTTATGTCATGTCCAATCAAATACCGCCAGATTGGAGATTTTCACTCCTACTACAGTGGTGCGCGAAAAGCCCCATACCTTACCATCTTTGTCGGAGGCAACCATGAAGCAAGCAATCATCTGTGGGAACTTTTCTATGGTGGATGGGTGGCACCAAACATATACTATATGGGAGCTGCAAATGTCCTCCGACTAGGTGGAGTACGAATTGCTGGTATGTCTGGAATCTGGAATGAAAATCACTTTAGAAAGTCACATTACGAGCGACTTCCATACCATAGAAGTGACATCAGGTCCATTTATCACATGCGAGAAATAGATATTCGAAAATTACTACAGCTTAGAACACAAGTTGATGTTGCCGTTAGTCATGATTGGCCAAGAGGAATAGAATGGCATGGTGAGCCTAGGGCACTGTTCAAGATGAAGCCGGATTTTGAGCGAGAATCAAAAGACGGAACACTGGGGAACCCCGCAACAAGAGATGTGATGGACCATTTACGTCCCCAATTCTGGTTTTCAGCCCATCTTCATTGCAAGTTTCCTGCTATAAAGTCATATTCCGAAAGAGTAGAGCGAGAGCAACTTTATAGTGGAAAAAATGCATTATTCACACCTAAAACCACGGAAACAGCACTTCCCAAAACAGGTGTAGAGTTTCAAAGGGCCTCATCTGCAGGAATAGTCCATAACTGCGACGAAATTGATCTTGATTCAAATGATGAAGAAAATAAATCTACAGACATTGTACAGAACTCCGACGAAATCGATTTGAACATACAGAGCGACGATGATAAACCTGTGGACTCCACCATGAACCACATAATTGCAGCCCATGTTGATCAGGGCAAAGATTCTTTAAAAGGTAAAGAAAAGCAAACTGTATCTGTTGTTCCTCCAAATATTCGTTCGCAACTTCCAGTCGCATTTGAACGACCTTCTCTAACAACTTTTCCTATCCAGAGACGACCGAGCCAAGCACCTCCCCCACAGATTACCAATAAGACTGTCCGCTTCCTGGCATTAGACAAATGTTTACCTGGACGAAAGTTCTTACAATTGCTAAATATTAGCCCTCACGCTAAGTCTTCATCAAAAAAGTCACCAAAATCGAAGCTTAGACTTGAATATGATCCAGAGTGGTTATCTATAACCCGTGTCTTTGCACCATCATTGGTACTCGGAGAAAACGGCGCTCAAATACCACCTGACCTTGGTGATGCCCATTATCAAACGCTTATCGAGAAAGAAAGGACATGGGTTGATAAATATATAGTAAATGCTGGGAAACTGCAAATTCCAGAAAACTTCGTTATCACTGCCTCACCTTTCCGGGTCGGGAGCCCACAATTTGTTCAAGAAGGTCCCCGCGAGTACAATAATCCCCAAATGCAACAATTCTGTGATTTGGTAGGAATTGAGAACAAATTCTTCGCATCTGAAACAGAAAGAGCAGAGCGTCTTCGAAATGGACCAGAATTAAGTCAAAATATACCTAGAGATTCTAATTTTATCCAAAACCGAAGAGGCAATAACGTTAGAGGTAGAAGGAATGGTCGCAAACGCAAATGAAACCAAGGTTATATGCGTTAGTTTGCTGTGAAACAAGATATAGTTACTGTTTGAAGTAGTTACTTAAATAGAACTCAATTTTCAGTAGATTTTGAAGTTTTAACCTCATTATTCAAAGAATAGGTTAATAGACAGAGTCCCTACTTTGTGATTGATAGCAGTTAGATATTTATGGGATCTTTTGATTCAACAAACATACTATTGAATTCCACTCTTATACTTTATAGACAACTGATTTTATCAACTCTTCTATCGAAGTATTCGAATACATTATCAAAGGATTCTTATGATTAAATTTATCTTATTGATTTTCATTCATAAATTCCAACATTGTTCCGGATCAGTGACAACTTTCTGGCAAAGTCTATGATCTCTCCAGAACTATACGGAATTGTTGTGATGTACGATACCAATAATTAGGGGGACGAAAACCTAACTCCTGTCGTTGGTATCCCCTACTAACATTCACCTCTCATTGTAGAGTCTGAAGGGCCGAGATCGAGTAACACTTTTATCCTCACTTCGATGACGATTCCTGATACTGGACCAAGTTGGCTGTAGTGAAATCCATGAATGAAAATAATTAGGAAAAACACTGCTACCAAAGAGAGTTACTTACAATACTTTCTAACTTACCCTTTCCTTCACTGTCTATAAGGAAATGGTAAAACCTTTCTATGCAACTGTTGATTGTCACATGAATTAAAAGAATTATTTTGACTGTTTATATAGATATCCAAATAAACTTAATTATACATGATATGCCAAGGCTCATATACCTCGAGAGCCCAGCAACCAAATTATGTCCCTCCAGATCAAGATTCATCAGAATAATTACAAACTCAGTAAAATTCTCCTAGTCTCAGTTGTGTATCCAGGATCTTGACTAGGTTTCTAGTAACCAGTCTATAATACCTCTCCTATCATTGAGACATAGTCATGGTTGATACGACAAGTAAAAACAATGAGTCATTTCTATACATGACGTTGTGATATAGTCATGATCATTTGAACAATCTTTGATAATGTGTTGGAACGGTAGTTATGTGCACTCTTTTTGTTTTTTTTTTTTTTATTTATAGTGTATTCAGCTATCTAGCTATGACACATGACCGGTGCTATGTATACATGTGGGATGACTCTTTTGACGTTAGAGACACTCACACTCTGGATTTCATTCGCAAATACCACTATGAGGTATGTTCGCCTACACAAACAGTCGACCCTCCTCCGTTAGTACCCACCAAAGGGAATTTCAAAACCTTTGGTTATCCAAGCATGCCGTCGTCATCCATGCATACCAGCGCCGCGAGAAAAGTGGTTGTGTTTTGCTGGATTTGAACCAGCGATCTACTGTCTCAAGTGGGATATGTGTCCCAGCTATCCAGACTCTACTTGGCAGACTGGCCAAGACGATGTACCACCGCACCATCCAACCATGGCGATGTTTATAGTGTCGCCTGCACTCTCGCAACCGATGTCTTGGCACGCACAAAGCTCAATTTGTAAAAACTCCTTGCCAAAATTCAAAATTCCACGCCCGTCGAGACTGTATCCATCATCTGCATCATCCTATCAACTTGTCCTGGTCCCTATCACATCCATCCCGAGGAATTGTCGTCCAGATTTGTGCGCCACGCTTTGCTTCCTCCGTCAGGTGTAAACATCGGCGTGGGCGTGTATCTGGCGACCAGCTAAGGCCAAAGAAAGTCGAAAAGAAGTGTGGTCATTGGAATGAGGATGTACTAGGTCGTACTTGTAGACTTGATAAAGCTTAGTTGAGAATCGGACTCTTTGGGAGTGAAAGATTGACATAGTGGAGTAATTTGAATTTTTGCCTTGTGGGCCAACTTCTTTGATATTGCGAAATTTGACTGAACTTGGCTCTGGGAGAATATTTCACTCTCAGGTTCGTAGAGGACACCGCGTACAGGTGTTCAGTCTTGCCCTCCTATGTGCACTTTAATAATAGGTGGAATAAGTATTAACCTATTGTAACAGTAGTGAAATTTACGTAATATTCTCTTGGCATTCTCTTATGATATCAAGAGGTTTTTTTTCAATTCATTAGGTGTGTGCAGCCTAACTAGCTATGACACTATGTACAATCATTCCCTTATCAACACAGACAACCCCTTATTCCACCATTTTGTGTACATTATGATACAAAGAAAATTCTTGAAAAGTAGACTGTAATTAGTTAGTTGGTTGATTTCTATCTTCCTCAACCCTACCCCGAGAAAGGCAGCCAGTTGTTGAGAGACATTTGAAAAGCGAAGTTTTCCCCATATTAGTGTTGAATATAATTGGAATTGTGAATGGTGATAAATTTTGAAATTCTTTCCTCCTCTGTTTCTTGAAAAATGAACAGTAAGGTATTAAGTGTTGAATTGTTTGAATACTTTTTGTGCAGTAATTGCACATATTAGTATCGCTTTTCCCAATCTTATTCATATATGCCAGATGGCTTCCTATGCCTGTTCTAGCTTGCATATATGCTGACTGGGTTTTTCGAGAAAATTTGGACATGTTGAATGGTTTGAATTCGAAGTTGAGTACACCAAGAGGCTTAGTACAGGCAGATAGAATGAATAATATGTGAATGTTATTGTATCGTTTTATTGAATATATTTTATTGCCTTTTATTTACGCGCGTATACCGTACTGTATCAACATAATGAATGGGTCATATATCTACATAACTCTATCAAATAATCCAGTAACCAGATGTTGCCTCATTCTTGCCCAAAAGTGAGCTTGTTTTTATCAAGAAGTCATTTCATTTGTAATGGCTTGTAAGCCGCTTGTTTCATGTCATGTGATTATAATCACATGCTCCTATAATTCTACAGGAGTCTAGCCTTATTCCGAGCGTCGGGTAGTTCTTTTATTTATTTATCTATTTTTTATCTCTACCGGGCACTAGTTACAACTAAAGCCCCATCCCTGAGGAGACATGGTGACGACTAAGTAATACAAAACGTGATATGCAGTGGCAGAGGCCATGAAAATACATTTAGAAACTGCGAGCGCTATGCAGCGGGTACCTCACAAGAATAGCTCATATGTTACGGATTGGGCAGATTTCTGACGGGAACCTAACCTTCTCCAATATGGTGGTGAAACGCTTAGCTCCCGGGGAGGTGCTTAGAAGAAAATAGAGTGAGCCCATACTTCGTCGATGGCCGGCCGAAGCCAGTCTCTCTCGTACAATGGGGCAAAAAACTAAATGAGTGATTGATTTGTTAGCCTCGCAGGAACAAGTCAGAAGGGCATCAAGATGATGAAACCTATCGTGATTGGCACGAAAGTCACCATGTCCAGTGCGGCATTGGATTAAATACCCGAGGTATCGGCGAGGGAGTCTAAGTTCCTCAGGAGGCTTCTTGGGAAATGGCATCCCTAACTCACAATAGGTGGAGGGAGCATGAGATTGCCACCAAGCTGTAGATTGGCACGACGTTAATTTAATCAAAATCTAGCCTTATTCCAGACTAGTTCAGCTGTAGCTGGAACATTCTAGTAATTGGTAGCAAGACTAGGAACTACTATTAGTGGAATATGTGAGAAGCAGATATTGGCCAAGAATGAATATTCTTGATAATTTTATAAATGTGTAAATAGTTGAAATAACGCTTTGGTAGTTAATGTCTAATGCTAACATTTTACCTAATCATGTAAACTAAGCTACAGGTCACATTAACTTCTTTGCATTGTGTAGATACTTGTTGTATTTTATCTGTTGACAGCCGAGCCTCTTTGGCGCAGTGGTAACGCGTAGCACTTGTATTCATGTAATCAATGCTAAGATCACAGGTTCGATTCCTGTAGGAGGCATGAGCGTCGGGAATGGTACTCCATCTTTTGGGGTTGTCAGGATCTATACGGCTAGTAGATCCGCATGGCGGGTTATTTTTTTATTTGACCTTCTAGGTAAAGTAACCCCCGTCGCACTCCCACTGGAGCTAAAGCACGGGTGGGGTCGGGCCGGATCAGGTTAACTACCGTAAAGGTGTTATGGGCTGTGCCCAGTTCTGTTAGGCTGGGCTATCTTTCGGGCCCAACCTCGTCAAGGACACTAACCATGTGATATTTAGTAGAGTTTCTCCCAACTCGAATCACTCGGTTAATTATGCTGAGACCGGATAACAGATCACTCAGAAGCAAAAGAATGCGTGTCGAGAAACTGTATCACTGGTGGCGGCAGCGGCCGTATTTAATGCAGAGGACTTCATGTAGTAAATCTCTATAGAAAAATATTAACTCTTTGTGGTACTGTTTACGTGCGGTGTCCGTAACTCTCCTCGCCCTTAACATAAAGGTGACAGACGGCTGTTGTTTTTTTATTATGTTAAAGTCCTAAGCTAAAGCTCCAAATCCACTATGGGTACAGGACCGAAGTTCACAGCCAGAACTACATCTAGACATACCCAGCTTGATTCCACCGCATGAACCACCACAGAACCAGCAGTAAGTTAAAAATATGCATCTACGCGAACTCCTTTTCCCAAAACTGACAAAAGAAAAGGATAAATTGCAAATAAGTTAGAATGGGAAGCAATACTCCTCGCCTCGATTCCCATTTTGTCAGGTTTAGTTTCCTGACGAGTTATATTCGATCTCCACTGAGAGTAGGAGATGGATGCACAGGAGAATACCCAAAAAAATTGGTATCCTGCGCAAATTGTTTGAAGCTCTCGAAGCACTTAGGCCCGAGTATCTTATGTAAGAAGGCACTGTGTGACAATGACCCTCTGATTTGACGCGTGATATTTGCGTTGAGTCGACAATGTATGAAGTGGGTAGGGGTAGTTTCCTCCCCACAGATGCACTCTGTAATAGCGTGCGGATTGTTGAAGCGACGATGGTACGCCGCGAAATTGCCGTGGCCCGTACGCGCTGCAATAAGATGTCGTAACTGTAGCCTGGAAAGCCCCAGTTCTGGTGGTTTACGACGGCGCATGAGCAGATCTAGCTCACGATACCGTGACGGGCAAGTT